ATAGGTAGATTGTGTTTGTTTGTGCTCACACACACTGGACCAGGAATCTCCATCTATTTATGTCTGAGGGGAACGAGAGGGGTCCCCCCCAGACTGTGTGTGTGTGTGTGTGTGTTCCATCCCTCTAAGCCACAACCCCCTTTTATGTTTCCCAGAGGTGGAATCTTCTCTTTGTCTGTGAGGATTTCAGCTTAGCCTGCAATACTTTTTCATGGAGCAGAAGCAGTTATTGGTCTCAATTGACTAAATGTTTATTGTCTGATGTTCCTGATTTTACTGGAAGGCCGAGCAGACCTGTGTATTGTTTATTGAGTACTCAAAAGCATTTCTGCTGTATTTGCCGACAGAAGGAGATGGATGTCCTTCTGAGCTCGGCTAAAATGATCAAAGATTTAATAATTCATCGGAGCGTGCACGTGAGTGCACGTGTGTTTGGTTTTGAGAGGTGTGGCTACTCAAAAATTGTTCAGCTCTGCATCCGTCGATCGATACTGAACCTGCTCACACCTCCGCCAGAACACACACACGGTTTCCTTTTGACTCCTCCTGCTTCCTGTAGCGGTGTGAGCCCACGCGTCATTTAATGACCTCTGCCCACACACACACACACACACACACACACACACACACACACACACACACATTACATGAATACGAGCTGGACGGTCAGCTTGATTTATCTTTCATGTATTTCACTGAGATGCGTTTTAGGGTTTATCATTAAAGACGTCCCTATTTGCTGCTTTGTTTAGTTACGAACTGCAAATATTAGTTGACTAATAGAAGAAATAGTGGAAAAAGGAAAATGGTCTTTGTTTGCAGTAAGGTTCTGCAAATATAAGCAATGCCTTTTTTCTTTTGGACTGTAAACTGTAAATATTAGGACTTCACATCTGCATTTATTCCAATCTATTTGACACTTAAAATGTAATTACAGTTAATCCTTTAATTTAAAAAAAATATTGCAGATGGAATTTGATGGTAAATTAATAAAATAAATAATAGGCCTGCATCTAACTATTATTTGTATTGTTAATTAATCTGCTGATTATTTCACATTACAAACTGAAACTATCAATCTATTGTCAAAAATAGTTACAGAATACGTTCTTAAATAAACCCAAATTTAATAACTATCTGTTTCATGTTTGTGTCGTATATGCGGAATAGAGACATAATGTTAATGCAGAGGAGATATTTGTTGTACCTGTAAGTCATCATTTCTCCTTTTATTTATTTACTCAACCTCTTTAGCAGTTCAGTCCCTCTGGGAATTTGATTTTTCTTCATTCATTCTGACGTGATGTTGATTTTATTCAACAAAGAAGCTCATTGACATCAACTGGGACAAATGAATCATGTTAGGTATTGACCTGGGTCAGGCTGCCAGCATGATGAATTGGGTGCATTGTCATTCAAAAACATATTAGATCATGCAACTGTCCCATGAGATCATCTCACTGGGAATAATAAATAGGAATTATGGTAGATAAAATGCAGTTTAGAGATGATTCATGTCATCATTTAAAAAAAACACCAACACCAAGCACCATCATCCTGTTGTTTCATTTGTGCACATTTTGCTGACATGTTAAGTAGTAATTATATGGTGAACGTTGTATATTCTTTTATTATATAATTAGCATGTAAAAATCCTTATCTCAGATAGACAGGATCTTGGGAAGTAATTGTAAAATACCTTGAACGTTATGAAACACGGGAAGGTTAAAGGCTGCCTGCTCTTGACCTGGAAAAAGGAATTTATTGCCCCTTCTGACACCTTTAGCTAATTCCATCGGGGATTTGAGCAGGCGGGGGGACAGTTCCAGATTTACTAACTTGTCTTCCTCCATCTCATCCTCTCCCTCATTGGCTGTTTGCTGACCCTCAGGGGATCCAGTGGGTCTTCGTGGCGTCTGACCGCTGCTGTGCTGCCTCTCACTTGTTCAATGGGGGTTGTTTATGTCTTCTACACAAAGTGTCATAGCGTGTGTGAGAATGAGCGACTGCTAAGCTTTGCATTGAGCTGGAGTTTTTGGATCATCATACCAGAGCGTGCAGACTCTCTGAGTCTTTTACTTTGATAATCCTCTTACACGTCTGTGCCAATGCGAACACAAACACAATCACATGAAAACGCCCAAAAATCAGCACACTAACACACTTACTGGAAATAGCATTTTATATCATGGTTCTAGGATTTTACATATTCATGGCACTTTGCTGCCTGTCTCCTCTCCACCTCTGAAACAACATTCTTGTCCCGAAGGCAGAAATGTGGTGTCTTCATCTGGGAGTCACTTATGCATTCCCTCACTCTGCCGCCACACCCAGCTCTGCTCCAAGAGCTTTTTACTACGAAGGTGCCATAGAGCTCTAAGATCACTCCTCCCTGTGTGTGAGTGTGTGTGTATGTGTGTGTGCCCTCCCTAGGTATGACTTTGCCCCAGCAGGGGTTTGCAGGATGGGTGTGTGCAGTGAAAGGCAGTTATTGAGTGGAGCAAAGCCAAGACAGCCGAGTAGCTTTAAGCTGCAGACGTCTTCTGAAAGCCTTGACCCACTTCCAAGTCTCCTCCTCCCCCCCTCATGCTCACCCAAACACGCTGCATACTGAAGCAGCTCTGCCACAATCTGCCCGAGCTGCGGTAGAGCTCCACATGCAGATGCTGGGGACGAGTGGGTGTGCCTGTCTATCCGATAAATCAATCCGTATGTGTAGGGCTGCATGTGCTGAAAGGTCAGATGTGTGTGTGTGTGCAGACTTACGCAGAAGGTGCATCCTCTGTCAATGTCAAAGGGAGTTGCTGCATCTGCTGAATGTTTGAATGAGTTTTTTTAGTTGTTACTTTACCAGCCAGACACGTGTCCCATCGTCTCTGAAGAAGGGGAGACATATCTGCACGGCTTCGGGTCACATTTAAGCCCTTGCAGAACAATTCTGTGGCAATGTGTTGTGTGTAAGGCTTCAAATAAAGACTATCGCATCATTGATTAATCAGCTGATTATTTGATCTAGCCACAAAGTATGCATTGTAATCAATACATTTATCGTGCGTTGAATATTTTTTTTATTATTTGAAATTTCAACGTTCAATACTGTATGATGTTTGAACCTGGTCAGTAGTTTTTTGCCAGAAAATGAGACAAACAATATGTATTTGTAATTGTCACATCAGAGCCAGACACTAAGAACTCTGTAATCTAAATAAAGTGAAGAAATTTCAATTATATTTAAATGTGAACAGCATTTGGGATGAGATGAGGGACAAAGGGATTTATTCTGCTCCGGCCTCTGAAGCCATGCACATTCTTTAATATTTTCCGAGCAGACAGTCGTGATTTTAAGCTGCCACGAGCTGGGAGGCCAGACAGCTGGCTGATGGGAGGGGAGCTCCGCTGGGAAGGACTGGAGACACTCACTTAGTCACGGCTGCTATACACAGACCGATTTATACAGATTGCAAGCACATACGAGCCCGTAAGCACGCAGACGCAAGTGCATCAACTCACACATACATAAAATGCTTTTACCATAAGCAAGGGGATTAGCACACTTTTAGACTCATGGCCACATGCAGAGCAAATGGCCCCCCGCTTAGCCACATGGACTAATGCATGAAGATCTGTGTCCGAACCGGGCATAATGAAAATGAACACGCAAAGACACATGGTGTGGTCAAGGGAAGATCAGCAAGGAGCTGGCTGGATTATCCCGCTGTGTCTTTCTACCAACAGATGGACCTGAGTTACTGTTGACAGCCTCTTTCTTTTGATTAGAATTGCCATCAATCCCCAGGACGTGTTACTCACCTGTTTTTATCTCTGGCTGTTTACTGGTTTGCATTGTGTGTTTGCTATATCATCCCCTCAGTCTCTATATTATCACCCCGTGTCCGTCTCTGACTCTTTGTCCTTCCACTCTGTCAGCATCCGATCAGGATGACCTCATCCAGACTTTTACAGACGGACTATTTTTCTTTTATAACGCTTTCCCTTTTCTTTTGTTGTTAGGTTGAACTGTAATTGTCTATACACGAGAGGGCACTTTTGTGAAAGGAAATAAGCTGCACCTGTATGAATAAATATAATAACGCAGTCATAACACATCTGACATTTCCTTCATGTTTCAAAAGGGGGTTAAGTCATTTTAGCGACATACGTTTGGGGAAACCGCATTAAGCACGGAGGCCGTCTCCCATGGCAACAGTTGACTCCACCCTCCTGTGTCACTTTTGGTTGCAAAAGGACTAAATGGCAACGGCCAAAATGCAGAACTTTCCAATTGTCATCCCACAAGCCAAAGGGAGATAACATGGTGACTACGTCCACTTCTCATATTCACAACAAAGAAGGGTTCATAGATTCATTTAACTTAGGCACTAAAAATGATCTACTGCCGTTACATTGTTATGTGTTCTACTATGTTTTCTTTGGTCCAGTCACAGGTCTGTGTCTTTTGGTGTGATCTCTCATTTGTCTGCTCCACTTCATGGTGGTGTGAGGTAGAGTCACAAAGGGATTATTATAAACATGTAAACTATAATTTGAGGTCCTGCATGGTGTCATTGGAAGAGTCAGGTGTTGGAGGGTGAAGTACAACATCATGGTCTGTCAACACAATAACATTTTAAAGTACAGGGAGGTCTGAACTGCTCATTCAGTGACATATTCATAATGTCATTTGACACTTTTCTGCTTTTTCTAAAAAAAGAAAAATAATAGACGGTCATTTGTACCGTTATTACTTCACAGACAATTAATGGACCATTTCCAGTATCAATTAAATGTTTTATTTATTCATCAAGCAAAGTCTCAACATGTATTCTGGCCCCAGCTCTGATTTTGTGGATTATTGTTTCATACTGTATATTTTCTGTGGTTTGTTAATGGAATAACCTTGGGTTTTGGACATTAATCTCTTCAGGGGTTCAGGGACTGTTTTTTGGCCAAAAATGCTCAAATGCTCATGTAGTATCTCTCTACGTCTCTTCCTCCCTCAGGTGCTGCGAGTGCAGCGCTTCGCTGTCCCACTGGTACTACGAAAAAGATGGACGACTCTACTGCAAGAAGGACTACTGGGCCAAATTCGGGGAGCTGTGCCACGGCTGCAACGACCCGATCACCACCGGCCTCATCATGGTAAGAGGATCCCTCCGCTGACTCTCGTCTCTCGTCCCCCCGCCTGCTTCTTTGTTTGATGAACCTCGAGTTACAGCTCGCAGCTGTGACACCGCGCGCATACATGCAGGAGGACAAACGCACACACACACACACACACACACACACACACGAGTTCGTGCATTCACAGCCTCTCCGGTTGGTGTGTGACTACATCTGTGCCAGACCCGTCACCGACCCCGATGCCTTTGGCTGCGTTATCAGATTATCTTACAGACCACCAGTGGAAGTCGGATTTTGTCGTTGGGACACACGAGAGCAGAGACGTGTGCAGAATAGTGCAGATTAAACAATACGGTGACAAGTGCTGCTGCATTATAGAACAGACAAGATACGAGCAACCAAGGAGAGTGGTGTCTATTTGTTTAGTGATAGAATCACACACATTCAAATACAGAAAAAAACAATTAATACTGAATGTTGTTGAAATAGAATATGCTGTCAAAGGGCTCTATTTTCCTCCCAGCGACAAGCCAGGCAGCACCAATGCAGCTGTAAAGTAGTTTCCCTCATGCAGGGGTGTATTTTTGTCGTTATAGTACCTCTTTGGTCATCTCCTGCTGAGAATTAACTGGGATTGTCATGCTTTCTTTCAGGCCCAAACACAGAGCACCTACGGCTCGTATGTCCTGGCAATAAGCAATATACTGCCTCTAAAGTCTCCCAAAAACCCCTAGACTATTCAGACTGTGGAATGTGAAAAGAGAAGCTGATTAAAATATGAAGCTGAGCTCATTCGTTGCGCATTAAGCATTTTCTTTGACACATTTGCCCTCCGGTCCAATAGAAGCTTCTGGCAGGTCATGTGTCATGGTCACGATGAGCAGAAATCCATCACGGCACGGCCTATCTCTGCATCTCCAAGTGTGTGTGTGTGTGTGTGTGAGAGTGAGTGAGTGAGTGAGTGTGTGAGTGTTTTGTCATTTACTTGGCCTGCAGACAGCTTGCCCTTCGCAATGCAATCTCAGTAATGAATGTATGAGACTCCAAAGTGAATGAGGTTTGAGAGATCGCAACGCTCTTTTCTCTCCTCCTCCGGTTTATTGCTCTCCTCACAGCACAAAGACGTTGACTCTGCACTTACACACTTTAAAACATTTGAGGTCGGTCAGCTAATCAGCCTCTAGTTGCAAAAATGACCAGATGGATTGTGTTTTTCCATGAAGAGATGAAGGTCAATTGCCAGACAGAAGGAGTCCATGCAGTCCTCCACAGTCCCTCCATAGCAGGGAAACACACTGCAAGGTTTCTGTCACCATCAGTGAAAACACTTCCATGAGGCAGAGATGAGTCACAGTCTGTAGACAGAAATGTAGAAGCAATAAAGGTTGTGTCCACCGCACATGCTGATCCTTGTTCTGCTGAACTCCACTCTGGTAGGAGGAGGCTTTGGGATGTGAGCGATTCCCGTACAGGGAGGAGACGAAGCACCTTCCGTTCTGTCAGGGTTGCGGGTGGGAGGCAGGACTCAGACGCAGAGTTTTCCAATACAAAAAGACTTTAATAGTCAAAAGGTCCAAAATCCAAGGGGCAAAAACACTCAGGCATGAAACTATGGGCATCCAAGACAAAGACAGGACATGCGTGGCTAAAGACAATGACGCGACAAGTGACACAGGAGACACACGGCTTAAATACACAAGGGAGGTGCAGGTGATTGGACACAGGTGGAAACTATTAGACGATCACAGGGGATGACGGGACAAGGCAGGAAGTGAAGTTACCCGGGGACACGAGTGGCAGAAAACTACAAAATACAACAGGAAGTGAAACCACACCGTGACACGTTCACCCAATACTGTTCAAGATTAAGAAATCGCCAACAATAGCGTCTAAAAAAAACACAGCACTATTGTACTGTTCTTTTTTTTTGTGGTATGATGTTCGGCAGCGATCGTTTGTCCTTTTGCTTGCCTGTAATGTTTGTTGATGATGAGAAGTCATTGAACAGGCAGCGAATCAAGAAACAAGTGATGTGTTTTTTCACTTTGGCTTTGTAGATTTAGCCAAGATTTTTTTACAATTTGCTCGTTGACTAATGTGCTCTCTTGATCCGGCCTATTTCCTCAAAATGTGTATTTAAATACAGCAAATTGAGCGAGTGTTGTGGATCGAGCTGAATGCCGAGTAGCCTCAGGGCTTTAGAGCGCCTCAAAAAGGCTTTTCGGATTATCCACAGTTTAGAACCCCCCCCCTCGTCCATGTTGGTTCATGCTCGTCCAAGTGTCGAATGCACCGGATCAAGCCAGTAAGTGAACTTTTAAGTACAGATTGTTATGTGCCCAACCTCAAGGATGAGTTGTCAAACTCAAAATAAACTTGCCATTGAACACAAAAACACACAACTTCAGTCTCTTGACAGTGTCATTGTGTATCTTTTCATTAATGACCAGTGGCCTTCACCACTTCTATTATAGCGAGGGAACTTCAGGGTCTGTTGTGTTTGTGGGCATGCCGGTGTGTGTGTATGTCTGCGTGAGCGGCTTCATCATCTGCTGCTGCTCCACTCAGCAGCTTCAGGCTGCAGCAAACTGGTAGTAATTCAGACGCAGGAAGTGACTCAGTTATTCACAGTCCCAGCTGAGATTTATTTGCTAAACACCAGTTCACTGATGCAATTGAATTTTGCCTCGCACCAACCTTCCTCCACCCTAAACGTCAACCTGTTATTGACAGATGCGTGTGCAGTCGCCCCCCCTCCCACCTCCACACTGAGATTAGAATCCGTCTGCAAACGACTCGGGGCTGAGAGCCAGACATCGACCGGGGCCTGATGGATCAAAACTTTGGTTTCACACATTCTCCCCCTCGCTGCATTATCTTCGCCACAAGGTTCCGTATCCGTATTCTCTCCACACTCGTGTGTCCATTTCACCAGTAACACGTTGAGCTTTTCAGTCGAATCTGTTTTGATTTAATTGTGAGGATACAAGTGAGTTCATGTTACCGGGATAATGAAATTGTTTTGTGAGGCAGGTGGACTTGTGGTTAATAATGGAGGTGTAACCTTGACTACTTCGGGATTATGTTGAATGATTGGATAAAAGCTTAGAAAGGAATGCTAGAGAACAACTTGTCTGTATGAATTGTTGTTTGTCAAACTTTTAAATGAAAAGTGTTTGTATTTCCATGTGGGAATGATTACAAAAACGCGGTTGGTCCTTTTGGATGGACAGTTTTTTTTGTTTCTGAGAATTTAAGAAGTTCCAAAAAATTCCAAGATGTTTCTTTGAAATCACGAGTGCTTTTGGTGCCAAATCTTAACATAACAACACCACCTAACATAAGACTAAAGCAGTCCAAAAGGGACAGCAGACTTGGGTTCAGTTGCATTGAAATGATTGTTATTTTCTTCATGAGTGTCAGACATATGCATGAGGGTAATATTGAGAAAATGTAGATGTTTTTTGGGAAGTTGGCAACCAAACCACTGGAAAGTCCCAAATATTTAGTCTTCCTTCTCCACTCCCACTGGTATGAGGTATCTCTGTCGGTGGGTGGGAATCAGCCAGTTGTCTTTTATCAGCGCCCGCGCTCAGGTTATTTTGTGTGGGAGGTGTTGGGAAATCGCTTTTGTTGAGATGTGGTTTTTGTTATGGTTGTGACACTGTTTTCCAAGCAGCAGGCTCCGTTGTCGGTGACCTAGTCAGCGGTGTTGTTTTGCATAGTATGGCGCAATCGGGAGAGTTGTTTTTTCATTAACATTCCTGAGGGAGGTCAGAGGTCATATACAGTGGGTAGTCTGATACGGCTGCCGGGTTATCAGCGTCTTTGCTCATAGGCACTTCGGCTGGACGGCTCAATGCGGACGCAGCTCAAGCCTTTAAGTCGATCTTCCGTTTTTGTTCCAAAGATTGCAGTCAACATTATCACTGAGATGTGAAGAGATCACCACCTGGTCTGCGCTTCCTTTTGTCCAGAGAGGAACTGTGACGAGAGCAGCGGCCTCAGTGGGCCGACGCCTCACCTGTAAGACAGGGCGATGATGTCGCTGTCCACACAGCACAAGCAGCCGTAGTGACAGACTCAGCCGGCAGTCTCCGCAGGTACTCACAGGTATGTTGGTGCTGAGCAGCTGGCACCATTATAAACTATCTCCACCCTCTGAACAAATGCAGGAAATGACTGAACACATGATGTTTTAAAGTTCTATAGCGCAAAACAGATCATTTATAACAGAAGATTTTTTTTTTTTCACCGAGCAAAGCCCCTCTTTTTTCTGTAGCCGGCGTCAGTCTCTGCTGCCAGCAGGCAGCGCATGGAGTATTAATAACTTCCCACTCACATGGTCCTCTTAGGGGTTGACACATGGTATGCAGGACATGAACAAAGTGAGACGCAGAGCGGGTGACGCAGCAGCAGAGATAAACCCGCGGCGGAAGATATATATTTATATATATATATATATACACGAGGCAAGAGAGGTGAGGAAAGAAGAGGGGAAGTTCAGAGCTATTAATAATTAAATAATCAAGATGACACGGGTAGATCACATGTATTTATGCTCAATGCAATGTGGTCAATTCTTACTTTCTTAGTTTCATTTTCATCAGTGATCAGAGGAACATAAAGTTATTCATTAAATTAATATTTTTTAATATTCATTACATTAATATTTATTCTACAGTTCACATCAATAACTTTGTTGATTGATACAATGCTTTTGTGTCTTTGTTAAGAAATTTCCGCACATGGCACAAACAAATTAGGTAATGCACAGCCTTTTTCCCCCACATAATAACCCCAGAATCACTCTCCTGGATCTCACCGGTTTGCAAATGAGATGGCAGGAGCGGGGGCAGAAGAAAAGGAGCGAGGAATGAACTGAAGACACCATGAGACGAGTGGGGGGTGTCTGTGTGTGTCTGTGTGCAGTCGAACCAGCCGGGGAGCGCGTGTGCAAGAGTGGGCGGAGCCAAACAGGAAACGATGAGCTCATAGCAAAAATGAGAGAGGCAAGGGAGGAGGGAGGGGGAGGGAGTAACATTCAGAGATGAGCTCAGCTGCAGAAGGCGTGGGCCGCTCACTCTCTCTCCTGCGTCTCCCCGGCTGCCTCCCTCCCGCAGCCTCCGACCCTCCGACCGGTTTGGACTGCTGCCGGGGTTTTGTTGTGACAGTGGGGGGCGTGGGGTGGGATGGGGGGGGTAGTATTGCCTGCCTCACTGGAATGAGCTAGAGAGCCGAGAGGACACTGACATGGTGGGAGACTTGTTTTTCTGGAGCTTCTGCTGTCTCAGGCTGTGGAAGAGGGATAAGAAGGTGAGGCTGATCGCTGCGCTGCTGCCATGTGTTGCCGGGCGTCCAATGGGGGATGTACAGTCAGGAGGCGGCGAGGAGGCAGGGAGGCATGGAGGGAGGGAGGGAGGACGGTTGAGATGCTTTGCCGGTCGCTCCTGCCGAGACTTTTTCCGTCTTTATCTCTTTGATTTAAAAAGCTGAAACTGAAGTACGGTGCGCTACGCTGCTGTGATTTGTGTGCCATGTTAAAGGGCGTCCGTGTATGTCGCCTGTGCCTCATCATGACCGATGGACTCGGCCGTTAGTGCTCCGGCTTTTTGTTTTTTTCTGTCATGAGCAAGCGCTATTTCTAGTGAGACTTCTTAAAATCAGGACCATCACAAGTGTTTGACTGCACACATTCAGAGATGAAGGGCAGTTTCTTGTGACACTGCAAAGGTTTCATTTGTATTTACCCCACACATGCCGTGTGTGTGACTGTAAGTCACAGTGGGGCCGGCATGTGAGCCCAACACACAGGGGGAAACGAGCCGAATACATTCGGTTTCTAAGGCCGAGGCCAGTGGATACTGTGATAGTTTGTAGCTGAAGGGAGTTTCCACTCAATCAGAATCAATGTGGCTTCTGTTTTCTCTCTCAGGCTTTCAGTCTAATTGTATTTGCTTAAATGATGTCCACTGTCCAAAGTCCAAAAACGGATCCAGGATCACGTTGTTTCTTTGGCTTTATTTCCACTCCAGTGTGAAACATCCTGATGGTACTTTGTATGTTTATCAGTGTTGAGGAATTCTCTTTCGACACAGTTGTAATCTGTGGGGACTAAAAAAATCACCTAATGCAAGAGTGTTTCTCTTCAAATCATCCGCACGAGGCTATTTTTTAAACATAGCAGCTATGTGTTGATTCATAGACACATGTGGCCCACGGAGGTTGGCTTTTTGATTTAAGTTCATTACATCAACCAGATACTCCGTAATCCAGCGGTGGCTTTTGGAAGCACCTCTGGCGGTGTTGTTATGAGCTCATTGTTAGCGGAGTGAAGTCAGAAGTCAACCGACTTGTTGAGGTGAAGAGACCAGCAGGCATGAAGAGCTTGTTGTGTATAATACACACATAGGTTTTGTCTTTCATATTTCGTCTGTGGTCCCTAAGCAGCAGATGCCCGGTTAATACAAATGAATAACTCCAGTATTCAAGAAGTTAAATGGGTTGGAGAAAAATAAAGTGGCTTATTGTTGGGTCTGACAGTTACTACTTCTATGAGAGGAAAATGATGAGCTGCTACGTGTCACGATGTCATGAAAGTCTCTCAGACGTATCATCAGGCCCTCGGTACACTTGATCACCTCGACTTTTATTCCCAGGTAACTTCTTTTATATGTGAACAGCTGAAGGGTCTTCGTCTGTGTTTTTTATTACTGACGCTTGGCAGAAACACACTTTCGTCAATCAAATATAATCACCAAAAAAAAGGGGAAGAGAAAAAAGAAGCGCTTTAAGGGGAAAACCTGAAATGTGTCAAAAACATTTTCAGAGCAAAATAGAAACTAAATGATTCAGTCAGAAAGAAAAAGGGAAATTCAAATGCAATTCAAATGATTTGTCTCTATATTTAGTTTCACTCTTGAGTCATTTAGTCCCATAAGGTCACTGTGTAGTTTTCAACTTAAAATCTAGAAATGTAACTTCAAACTAATTATAGCGTTCCAGACAAGTGTTAACCTCGTCGCTCAGGAAACGTCCTCATGGGTGACTGCTGGTCTGGAGAAGCTGAAGCGTCCATGAATTACCACCAATATGTTCCGTTGCTGTTTAGTGTCGTCGAGGCCATTTCACCGCCATAAATTCCTCCAGAAAGGGGTTTGTTCACATTCCACAGCTAACTTAAGGTCACACAGATAACTCAATAAAAGCAAATAAAGCTTAAGGGCTCTGACACGCCGAGCAGACATTCTCCACGCGTGACCATCGCATGCAACCATCCAATGCCCAAAAGGACGGTCCTCACCCGCCTAAGTGTGTTTGTAGCAGAGGCATTATTTTGCATAAATGGGTCTGAGGAAATTAGAGGGAGATCTTGACTTTCAACTAGCTCGGGTTACCAGATGAGGGTTATTCAATTATTATTAAATGAAAGTAGTGGACATGTTAATAACAGTTTTTAGGTGCAGGGATCAGTTGTTACTTAAAACCAAAACATGTTGAACTCATACCAACGGTAATAAAGGAAATATTTATACATTTGGCACGAAAAGAACGTAAGATGTCCCCAAAACGCTGTGGCAATAACAATCAATCACTAAACAAGGATATTGTAGTCCTATATCACCCACTTCATCTAAACTGCATGAATATGTCCTCTGAAACTCACATGTATGTTGGGATTTTTGGCAGATATGTTGCAAGATACAAAACCAATCCAGGCCTCTTGAAGAGCAAATCAAACATTTGAGGAGGGGAAATCTGTCTTTGGATTAATTGTTAGCGGCCTGTGAAGTGTATGAAGATGAACACGTAAGCTACAGCAATGATATGTATCTCTTTCTGCACAGTGCTGCGTTTCTTTTAAAACGAGTTAGGGTGTGACCGATCACAGGCATCAGACCGGCTCACCCGCCCCCCCCCCCCCCCCGAAGACACACGTGTGCACTCTTTGGGTTGGTTGCGCTAGAAAAAGGCCCCGGGCTAAACACAGTCATACACCCCCGAGCACAGTGAGATGCGGGAAATAATGGAAAAACATTTGAGGTTTTACGTCACATACACAGATGAGTTATCTGAGGAAGTCTCCCTCCTTTCTGTCTTTATTATTTATAATGGCCTTATCGATACATTTTGCAGCAGAAAGCATGTCCCTAATGTGAGCACAGCAGCTGTCGCCTGTCAAATGTGGTTAAAGAGTGTGTGTGTGTGTCTGTGTCTGTGTCTGTGTGTGTGTCATGCCTGCCTGGCAAGCAAATGGCGTGCTCCAGTGTGGGGCACACACTCCCGTTTCATCTCCGTCCAGCTGTCCTCTCTTCCTGTCTATTCCATTTGCAGAGCCGCACCTTAGAGTCACGCACACACACACACACCCACACACACACACACACACACACACACACATGCATATGTTTTGGTTTGGTCCTTAGATTTTCTTCCCTCGTCTCTCCTTCATACTTTTGATTCTCCGATGCGTTATGTTCACTCTGGCCGGCGATATCAGACAGTAACTGTTCATGGCTCCTTTTAACGAGGCTGCTTGGAGGACACATAAAGACACATCAAGAAATGAGGTCGGTCATTGAGCCACACAGCTGCTTTCCTTCCTTTTCCATTACAAGTGTTGTATTATCAACCTGAACATTAAGCAGAGTTGAAAAGTGGGACAGTTCTTCATCTGCAAGTTGCTTCCTCTGTGTCTCCGGGTTGTCTCGAGGTCAGTCTTTATTGTTTTAACTCCATAAGAGCGTCGAGGATCAATAACGGCTACTTTTCAGGGCTGAGAGCCGGAAGCTTCTGCTCAAATGAATTACTCAATTACAGTTAATTAATGAGCTTGTACGGTGTCTTCCTGCCTGAGGAATGTGTGTATCTGTTGTGTGTGTTTGGTTTCACCGCTCCTCTCCATGGATGGATCTTCACAGTTACATTTACTTTTGGGCCATTTGGAAATAACGTTACTAAACTCAGAAGGCATCTCAGACTTCTGTCTGCATCCATGAGCTCAGGTTTTGCACTTTGGTGATTTTAGTTGTTTCATTGTACAATTTTTTGTCAACCTTGTGGGATTTAGATATTTTCTCTGAATTATGTATTATGATATATTCAAATTGTGTCTTTTTAAGGCAATAATATGCGAGTATCAGTTTTCCCTTTTTGATGATACTACACGATGCCAAATCCACTTTTTTTTCCTTTGCATTTAATTGATTGTCCTTTGTTCAGCAGCCCTCGTCGACGCGCCCCGCCTCAGCCTCCCTCTCTTGCTATACCGAATTTGCAATGCAGATCATTGCAGTAGAGAAGTGTATTCAGAGGGCTCACTCCCTCCAAAATTTTCCGCCACTTGAAGGACAAAATGAAACCACAAGCGGCGCCTCGGGGGAGCAGCGGGCTCTGGTGGACTCCACCCATCGGAGCTCATGTTTAAGTCATCAGGTTCTCCGTTTAAATTGATGCGCGCAAAATGACCTGACTAAGTAAAAGGCCGTCGATATTAGGAATAACTTAAAGGGAAAGTTGAGGAGCAGTAAAAGTGGGAATGCTGTTACCCGGTGGAGTTTGGTCGCCTCATTCTGTCTTTGGGTTTAGTTTTCTCCCGTTGGTCTGGAGAGCTGAAACCTCTGGCGGCAGCATCGTCCTCACATCTGCCCCTGTGATTCATCTGCTCATTGCCGGCTCTGCTTTTTGGCCATAACTCAATTCCCTCTCTTGTTTGCAGAACTGCCCTGGCCTCTCAGAGGGAGGGGTGTTCTGGCAGCAGCAAATTCAATCTCCCATCCCTCAGTATTACCCTCTGTGACCAAACCTCGTCCCCCCCCCCCTCGTTATTAAAGCCCCATGCGGCCTGTTGCTCCGGTCACATCACAAACACTGGCCTGCTGTGTTGCCTTGGACAACTATTGCTTTGATATATCTTTGTACGTCAAGTTTACGCTGCAGAATGTCCTTTTAACCGTGTCGTTGGCTTTTCTCTCAACAGGTCGCAGGGGAACAGAAATATCACCCAGAGTGCTTCACCTGTCTGAACTGCAGAACATTTATCGGGGATGGCGACACATACGCTCTGGTGGAGAGATCCAAACTCTACTGGTGAGCCTCAAGGACATTATTATAAGACAGGCAAGCGCCTGAATCTAAATTGAAGCATTGTGTGAAAAGTGAACCTTGTTTAACTGGCTTGATGTTTTAACAGCGGCAAATCAAAGTTGGTGCAGTGTGTGATGTGGTCGCTCTATCACCCGAGCTCCTTCACACAACTATTATTTGCTTTTTTTAAGTTAGTTTTCCCAAATTAACTCTTCTGCAACAAACTAATCTACTTGAAATCCCTTTGAAGTGAAATTAATCCACAAAAACCGCACAAGAAGCCAAAAGCCGCAGATGATTGACAAAATCTGAAATTTATGCAGCTCATTTCGGGCTTCAAAGACCTTTTGTCAAGAATACGACCAACTGTGGCGACAGCTGAGTGGAGCTTTGCATTCACACCGTTTGAGATGTGAAGCGACTTTTTGGGGTATTTTGTAACAAATAAAGCTGCTCGGCACAGTTGCTGTAAGCCGGTGACAGATGTTCTGTGGTGAATAGATTCGGAGAAGATCTTTTTATATTTACAGCCATAAGTCTGAAAATACAAAAATATGTTTATCATGTAAATGTTCCCGTTATTTTTTCTGTCTCCGGTTCATGTTCTTGAATCGATTTGTCGTAGGTTGTGTTTCTGCGTTGAGTGATTAACAAGCTGCCCCACACAGCGGCACAAGCAGACAGAACGGCCTTTTTCCTCGGAGGGGAAGTGGATGATGACATGTTGATTGTCTCACATCACCACATTTAATTTGAGTTTTGAATACCTTCATAGCTCTTTCACGAGTCCTCCTCACATTCTGTGCATTCCTCCTGTTTCAGGGAATGATAGTCGGCTCGTTGTTTCCCCCCAAACTCAGCAGAGCAACAGCTTGTCAACAAGATGTGATGCTATAAAAACCTGCAGCAATGAGAACTTAATGTTCCCCTTTAGAATCGCATGGACGGCTTTAGAGCCCGAAACCTCACAAGGATTTTCATTTTCCTATTAACTTTCTTCCTCCTTTCCCAATCCATCCTCCCCTTCACCTCCTGCAGCGGTCACTGTTACTACCAGACCGTCGTCACGCCGCTGTCCCTGCCGGACACGCCGTGCCCACGGATCCCTCACACGGTCACACTCGTGTCCATCCCGGCCTCCGTCGAGGGCAGCAACGGACGCAGAGGACGAGGTTTCTCCGTGGCCATCGACCAGCCGCTCAGCCCGATCAACGGCTACAGCCCCGAGCACGGACCCACAGTCAGAGTCTCCCAGTGAGTCCGTCCCTCCCTGTCTGCGTCTCCCGGGTTGTCATTGTGTAACAAAAGAGGAGACGCTGAGTCTGGAAGAGGCCAGTGTGGTGGAGGACAAAGGAGACGGGGAAGGGTAGACAGTGTGATAGATGAGATTCGTTTAAAAAAATGTATAATAGAGTGGAAGAAAAAAGGAAATCTCAGCCACCATTATTGAAATGAGTTGAGACTTCATCAGATTACAGTTCTGTTAAAAAGAAAAATCCAATGAGTGCAGAGGGGTGTTTAAAGAGATATTTTTTTCTCCTGTTCTTCTGTATTCAGGGTGGAACCAGACTGCATCAGTCCAGATGTGAAAAACTCCATCCACGTTGGAGATAGGATCCTTGAAATCAACGGGACGCCCATACACAACGTCCCTCTGGATGAGGTATTGAAGATTCGACTTCATTGCGTTACAATCATGACCTCTGCTGTTATGGATGTAGTAGTAGTGTCACACAATACAATAAATAAAGCCTGTATACAGTCTACAATACAATATGATATTGGCAGAGGTGTCATGCTTATATAGTTCTTATCACATTACCCCGAAGAGGATGAATTGTGGACCAATCCGAACTCTTCCCCTTTCCAGATCGACCTGCTCATCCAGGAGACCAGTCGGCGGCTGCAGCTCACTATCGAGCACGACCCCCACAGTCTGGAGGGAGGCCCCTCGGAGGCCGGGGAGCCAGTGGACGGCCCCCTGTCCCCCCCGCTGTCGGGGGGCCTCGTCCTGCCCATCACACAGCCCCCCAACCCCGACATCAACAACCTCAGATCCCGCATCATCACGTAAGAAGCCGATGTGGTGCAGCAGACTGAACGTGATGCGCCGAAGTCGCTCTGTCACACTGACGGTGTAGATGTAACATTAAATTGCCACGTTCCAGCTCTAACTTAGTTTAACACGTGATAGAAAGCTTCTTCCTGTCCATTTAAAACAAATAACAAACAGTAATCAAATGCTCTTCTCTCCCTCTGTTATTCCTCTCCTTGTCTTCTCTCTCTTCCTGGTTCCCCTTTCACCCTCCAGACGGAGCTACAGCATCGATAAGTCTCCGGGCTCCAGCAACGCAGCGTCCCCCATCTCCCAGAGGAAGGACATCAATCGATCGGAGTCGCTCCGCGTCGTGTCCAATCAGACGCATCGCATCTTCCGGCCGTCTGACCTCATCCACGGAGAGGTGCTGGGGAAGGGCTGCTTCGGACAGGCCATCAAGGTAGGTTTGGGGCGCGTCTCGCTGTTTCCATCGTGCATCTGGAGCAGGTCGACGTTTTTAAATGTTTTCCTTGCAGAGGACGGAATGAAACTCTCACACGCATAACGGTTCACATGGCCTCAGCCTCAGCTGATTTTTTTTTTGCATCATTGCGTCTTGTAGGTGACCCACAAGGAAACTGGGGAGGTGATGGTGATGAAAGAGTTGATCCGCTTCGATGACGAGACTCAGAGAACATTCCTCAAAGAGGTGAGTGGATGTGGACGATCCCAGATGCTTGGGTTGAATAATAACTCGGTTTTCTATTCAGTTTTCCAACACAAATATGAAATGATTTTGTATTGATTGAAAATAACCGGAATATTCAATACATATTTGTCAGTAAAGGTATGTGACCTAAAGTTAGAGAGTACGTTTGTTAACGGTTTGAATTTCTGGACCAGCTGGCAGAGTCTTTGCTGCGGAGGTTTGTTTTTCTTTTTATACACAACCAGAATCCCAAGTTAAAATTAGCATCTCCCCGTGTGAATGTAGGACAGGACTGAATACAAAAGTTCTCACTTGAAGAAATGAAAGGAAAAAACATCACCCCCGAAAAACAGCGCAAGATCCACAAGAGGTGGATGAGCAGAACTAATTTAACAGTCATTGCATTTATTTCTCGTGCTTCCATTAATCTGCGAAAATAAAAATGACTCTGGATTTTTGGCCTCCGTAACACTTCTTGAGATATTTTTAGCCTCGCAGCGATCTGAATTACTTCAGATGTTCCTGTTGTGTCTTTGTTGCCCTGCTTATCAAAATGAATACAGAAGAGAAATGTGTTGTGAGATTCAGTGACAATGGGACAAAAAAATGAAGTAAGGATAAAGAATTAGATGCTGGTTGTCTCTGAGGTAGATGACACTTAATATAAGCCCACTTGGTTAAATTCAGTTCAAATCAACCTTTTGACAAACAGACTTGAGCAACTAGCTTCATTTGGCCTCTCAAATCAACCAAGTAACAGATTTCCTTTCCACAATGAAAATACTTTACAGGGCCTCTATGAAGCTCAGCTGAGCATATTTATACATGAGAGTATCATCCATTGCCAAGATAGGGTGTATTTATGTTTTCCTTTTACGTTTTAGCCAAAATGAATGTTTTTTGCTGTTTCAACGTGTCCAAACTCAGTGCAGTGCTTTGCTGCAGGAAACCTCAGGATCCTGCAGCAAAGCACTATTCATCGTGTGTGTAAAAATGTGTGTGTTGCTCCATCAGGTAAAAGTCATGCGGTGCCTGGATCACCCCAACGTGCTCAAGTTCATCGGAGTCCTCTACAAGGACAAGAGGCTCAACTTCATCGCAGAGTACATAAAGGGAGGCACCCTGAGAGAAATCATCAAGAAAATGGTGAGAGGGCGTTTGAGTGGCTGCAGACTTTGAGGCCATCTACTTCCTGCTCAGTATTCAAAAAGCATCCAGTAGAGCTACTGGTACTTGTCTTTGTACTTTGTGTTGGTCTGTTGTCGTGATTCTACAGCTGCAACGGCCACTGAAGGCGATGACATTTGATTCTGATTTTCGCTCACAGGACAGCAACTATCCCTGGAAACGCCGGGTCAGCTTCGCCAAGGACATAGCTGCTGGGATGGTGAGTTCGATGACTGAAAATGAATGTAATAATAATAATGTCAAAAAAATTGAAATGCAGCAGGAAAGGAAAGTGCATTGCTTTGTGTTATCTTCGCTGCTGTCGCCCCCTGCTGGTTGTGTTAGTGAGTTGCACACACAGTACATAAGCTATTAATGTCGTTTCCAGCCCCATCTATTGAAGTGACAGCATGGATTCCTGCCGGATTAACCCAACGGTTCTTAATGCACTCATCTGAACACAATGAGGAACGCTGTGCATGACTGGATACCTGTTTTTACTTGAGATGACACAAAGTTGTTCCTCTTGGCGCAGGTTTTACATTAGAGCACAACTAAAACCTTCTATGTTTTTCTGTTTATTGTTTTTGTTCTTCCTTCCTCTCCTGTCTGTCTGTCTATCGGTCATCCAGACATATCTGCATTCCATGAACATAATCCACCGGGACCTCAACTCCCACAACTGTCTAGTCCGGGAGGTAAGAACTCATGCATTCCTGTACCAGCGTGTGTGTGTGTGTGTGTGTGTGTGTGTGTGTGTGTGTGTGTGTGTGTGTGAACACTATGTTTTCTTTGAACTTCAAGCTCTTGAGTCCCCCTCTCTCCTGCAGCGAGAGGCCGTGCATATGCTCGCGGCACAACGCTAACATTTCTCTGACGTGCTTCGTCTCCTCCGTGTAGAACAACACGGTGGTGGTGGCAGACTTCGGGCTGTCCCGTCTCATGGTGGACGACAAGCACGAGGAGACGTTGTCGCAGGGTAAGCTGCCCGGCCTCAAGAAGCACGACCGCAGAAAGCGGTACACGGTGGTGGGAAACCCCTACTGGATGGCTCCTGAGATGATCCACGGTAGGACCATCTTTAATTAACATGAATGTTCATTTACTTCAACACATTGACGCCTTCCTAAGATGAAGAAGTCAGTTCCTGCTCAAAGTTAACAACGGCATCATTTTTTGTCTCTTTTCCTTTTTCAGGGAAGAGCTACGATGAGAGAGTAGACATCTTCTCCTTTGGTATAATGCTCTGCGAGGTGAGTGACCTTCCACTCGGTGATGATAAAACAAAGAGGCTGCGGTTAGCAGAACTAAAATGGCTTCATAGTTTTTGTCCCAAATGGGTACAAATCGGAATACCTGTCATTTGTCACAGTCGCTAACTTCGTAGTGTCGTTTTGCTACCTCAAAACGTCACATGCCCCCAATATTCATGGCACAGCTCTATTCCATTTTACGAGAGACAAGTTGGACTTCTCCAAAGTTCCAGATGTTTGATTTCCATCCACATAATTTGGGGCTCAACACTTTATTTCTGTCTCTCTGACGTCCCAGAATATGAACTTCCCCAGATGGAGACAATTAGCCAGAGAATATTTTAGGGATTAGAGGGAGCAGAAAAATCAAAGTTGTCTTCATGTGGCTTCCGACGGGCAAGTTGTGGTTTGCTGGGAACGATCAGCTTCAGTTTGGAGGGTTCAGTGTTTTTCTGCAGATCAACGGGGCATCCATGTTTAACTCTTCTTTCTCTTTCCCTCTCTTTTTAAATCGTTTTTTTGGGGCTCTCTACAGATAATTGGCAGGGTGAACGCGGACCCGGACTACCTCCCCAGGGCGATGGACTTCGGACTGAACGTGTCTGGTTTCCTGGAGCACTTCTGTCCTCCTGATTGTCCCCCCGCCTACTTCCCCATGGCTGCTGTGTGCTGTGAGCTCGACGCCGACAAACGGTCGGTGTAAACCATCTACAAAGAATCCACGTTGAACTTTTACCCCAAGGCACAGTTAGAACAACATACATGTTTTTTCTCACTCACCAGTTTCACTGAGATCTGCGTCCTTTGATGTTTTAAATAAGACACACCAAACCAGAAAGTTCTACCGAGAACACGTTTTATTGTATTTTTGAGTGAATATAAAATATCCAAAATAATGTCTTCAACTGAGATCCATCTGCTTTCCTTAATCTTCAGACCGGCTTTCTCCAAACTTGACGAGTGGCTTGAGAACCTGAAGATGCACCTGGACATGGGTTTACCGCTGGTGTCCGAAGTGGAGCAGCTGCACAAGACCTTCTGGAAGAACCACAGCGGCGCGCGGCCCGAAAACGGTCTGCACGCCCACCCCCAACAGCCGGAGTAAGGCCTGGCGCGAGCGGAGGAGTGGGTCAGTAGGAGTTACCCCGCCTCCCCCGCATGGGCAGCGATCCTCTGCCTGTCAGCGGGAGCAGAGGCCGCAGGAGTCGCGTATGTGCTCCTACTCGTTTGAAGCTGCGGGCGTAGACTCGCTCAGGCCTAACGAGTGGACTCAGGGGGGAAAAAAAGCCTGGATCTGAAAAGCCAGCTGTGCGAGACACACACACACACACACACATAGACACACATTCAAAGTCAAGCTTGATCATGCTGCACCCGAAGCTAAGGTGCAGCATATTGTATGCAATCAGACCCAACTTTGAAATCACGACTCAACTCTTGAATCTCGTAGATTCAACGTTGGCCGTCATAGCATTTAAAAATACTGACTGTAGTGTGAGAATTCACACGGACAAGGTAGTCAAAGCAGACGACGAGAGGTCGTCACTTTGGGCCTCTGAATTACGCGGCACCGTACTGCAGATGTTTGATGTGCGTTTGGTTTGATTTCGCTTCTGGTTTAGATTTTAAACTGAGCTTAAAAATGCAAAGTGGAGGGACCCGCCTGTCGTTTCAGACACAGATCGAGATCTACTTGATGACCAATTGTCCAATTAAACCTTTCAAGCTTTAAATAACCCATTGAAGATGAGTGCATGAGTGTAAATAATGCTTTCTGGTCAAATCCTGGTTCCTCGTGTCCTTCTGCCCCTCATGTGTTCATAACCTCCGAGTGATGTAAGCGTCCACGCCCGCTGTCTCTCATTCATTGTCCAGCACTCAGCCACATCAGTTCACATACACACATACGTTAGACGCGTCTTATCCACGTACATATACATTCAAACACATAACAGTGTACATTGTAAATGTTTCTAATATTGTAAATGTACAGACATATTTTATATACGTATGCTACATTGCCATATTTTTATTGGCAGACCAGCTGAAAGGGAGGAGAGTAAAGGTTTGACAGGGCAGAGCTTAAAGATTTAGTGTTTTCTACGCTACTGTGGCAGGTTCCAGGCTTTTAGCATTTGAGATAACAGGAATGTTATCACTGCAAAATATTTCCTCAAGCTCAATAAATGTGAGTCCATTTGATCTGCCATCTTGTGCTTGAGTAAATTTCATTTTGATACTGGATTGTTAAGTCGAATCAAACTTGCTGATCTAAATTGAAATATTATCATCAACTAATAATATGTAATTTTAGGATTTTGAGGGCAATCAAGTACTACTCTCATCTCGTGTACTGTAAAATAGTTCAGGTCTGAGCAGGTTCTGCCTCATCATGTCAGCTGTCTCTCCTCCTGTGGATGACCCACTGTGTGTTTACATGTAAATTGCAAATATCTCTGTATATGTGTCTGTCCATGCATCTGTCTGCGTTTTTTTTTGTCCTACTCTTTTTGCAAACTGCATGATGTACTCGGTCTGCTTGACTTCTAACCCAAGCTGGTTTTTGTCTCAAAATGATGTGATTTTAAATTAAAAAAACAAAGAGGAAAAGACAAAAAAAAGTTAAGAAAGTCAAGCTTAAATCGAAAGAGCAAAAACACACCATCTGTGTTTTTTTGTGTAGATGTATATATAACCACTGAAATCTTTTTGTATAGATTTGAGTACTTTAATTTGCACTATATTACCAAATGGCTGGATGAAGCCATGTTTGTTAATTTCCTCTCTTGGGCTTCTTGTGATACGGAAATAAATGATGTCGGTTCAGGTAGAAATATGAATGCAAGACACTGATGGAGCCTTTCAACTGTAAAAATGGGATCTAGGAAATGCATCCTCTTGAAAGCAAACCGTTTTATAATTATTTACATGCATTTTTTTGTGCATGGCTCTACATTCGACTCATGTATCTATGGAAACCATGACTATATTTTGACTTTTCAAGCTTTAGCACCCAAAACGCCGTTGCTACCGAGAGGATGCGTTGTCCCAGCTCTGCCTGCTGCCTACAGACTGGTCCTTTGCGAATGAGGTTCTGTGTTTTTTTTTCTCCTTCTGACTGCTTGCTTTTGTGTGGGATGCTCCACAGAGGCTGCAACCTCTGCCTGTCGTTCTGATGTTGGAGCACTTAAACTGGCCACTCACCTTCTCGTCCCACTCCTTTGGCTCAGGGCCGTATATATTCCTGGATCTTTTTTCACTAATTCAATTAACTCGGCAGCTTAATAGGAGAGGAGGATTCAAACGCTTAAAAGTGAGACTCGGAGCATGTAACCTTCTGTCGATGTAAAATGCTGAAAACACAAAATATGCTTCTGTAAAACCTGCTGGAGTGCGTGTGCGTCCGTGGGCTCGCTCCACGTGAGATGCTTCGGCGCGTTTTCTGTTCTGTCGAGCACGTTAGTGTGTGTCTGTGAGGATCGATGAGGAGGATGCCGCGGCTCTTCTTTGCAAAGGATCGTTACCTCTGAACAATGCTGTGCCTTCGATGTAAGCTAGCCTTGCCAACCACTTGGAAAAAGAAACGTGAACTGATTCCCCTTTTCATGTGTCATAAGTGCAAGCCTGATTTAAGTGGAGTGAATATCATTGCTGATACAATGTTGTATGAGATGTCATCTTGTTCTGTATCCTATTTATGTTTTTCCGATGCCTAGTTTTGATATTTTAACCTTATATTTCTTTGATTTTGGTCTCATTTTTTTTTTTAATTACACAAGCTGTGAAAACAATTCTGCACTTTAATCTTGAACGTGAGCATTTAGACTCTGAGGAGGCGACTGTTTTTCCCCCCCCTTTTTTTTCACGGCTACAAATAAAACTGTTGCTTCTAAAACAAACCAAAGACTCAATGTGTTTGTACAATAATGATGGTGTCTTTCTATTTATAACCACTCTATCAAGTTCCTCTGCATTTACAATGCTGAAACACACTCAGAGAACAGTGTGAGAGCTCCATCCATGTGTATAAAATCACACTAGAAGACAGCTGCATTAGTGCTATTGAATGTGTGTGTAATGGAAAGTGGAAAAAAATCCTGCTTGTGTTTTCTAGAAAAAGAAAAGGTGAATTTATTAGAAATGGGTTGTCAAATTGACCACTAGATGTCACTAGAAGTTGAAATGATATTGTAGAAAATAAAAATATAAAATGCAGCTACTCGTCACTCTCAAAGGTGGAGAGTATGAGTCTTACTCATTCTACAACAAGTAATGTAGTACAGTACTGTACGAGCTGTACAGTAAAGCATCAGTAAATGTCATAGTGCTGCAAAAATGTTGCGCTAAAATCGTCATTTGTATTGGATTGCTGTTATTACTGCATGTTGAAGTTGAGATGGAGAAATTGTTTATTTTATTTTATTATTGTAGAACTTATACATATACATATAAATAAGCAATCCCTACAATCTACCTCAAAAACTCCATATGCAATAATATACTTTTTTTTTTTTTGAACGGTGGCGTTGGATGATAAATGTCAACATTGCGTGCAGGATGAGTAACAGTAAACATTTACACTTCCAAGCGAACCTTTCTTCCCCACATCGCGTCCATGTGCGATTGTTTTCATTCCGACGCCGCTGCTGCGGAGCCATCGTGACGTCACGGGCCTAGCACAGAAGGGGGGGGGGGGAGGAGAAGGAGGGGGGCGCGCGCATTCACAGCACGCGGGCGGGCTGCTGTCATTTCACCGCAGTTGTGTTTGGATCTGGAGAGGAAATTAAGGAAATACCAACGAAGAAAAAAAAAAGAAAAAAAGGAAGAAGAAGAAGGTCGCCGCATTATTAAAAAAATAAAAATGGAGCATTCGTCCAGCAACCACCGGTTTCGGTCCACAATCTTCAACCACGGTGAGTAACGTTGAGCTCACATCGGACTCCGCGTCCGGGACGTTTAGTCTCGTCCACCGGAGTGACACCAAGACGCAGTCCACACTTTCCCTTTAAATGTCTTTTTTTGTAGTCGTTAATAAAGACACACGGGTCTCCGTTAAAACTCACGCACAGCGCGAGCCTCTACGTCCCATTTAATCCGCACACTTTTATTATTAAATGACTCTCTGTCCGGACCGGAGGGTCCGGTTCGTTCTGCTAAACCTTAATCCCGCCAGTCCTCCCGGTGTGCAAGAGCGGTACCGAGACCGGGTCCACACGCTCCCGTCGCTTTATTTACCACAACAATCACTCCGTATTCACCTGTGATTTATCACACCTGAGACCATGTCAGAGAGCTCGCTCTGTCCAAACAGGGGACTTTATTGGGACTGTTGTCTCATTGAAGCAGTCGTCCCGTGTAGCGCTTCTGTGGCAGGTGAGGACACAGATGACAGCCTCTCCGGTGGACGCGGGTCGCGCTTGACCTCCATGCGGTTTGGTTCATCGTGTCCTCTGTTGCTGTAACTCCAGATGTGAGCATTGTGCTGGATTACAAAAGTGTTACTAGAGAGCTTGGGTGCTTAAATACTGTGTGTGTGTGGGGGAGCTTTTTTGTGTGTTCCATGGACTACACTAATCTACCTAAATGTAACATTGGTTTAAACCAGAGGCCGTGAAAGAACGACCAGCCTATTTTAAATCTGTGTCGCCTGCTCCAGAGTTCATTCCCTATGCGGTTGGGTTTTCTTTTCTCAACCAGAAAACCACATCGTGTGCCCTGAGATTCACCTTTACAGCTTCTCTGCCGATTCCCACCGTAGCGGAGCCACTTCAGATAGGACATCTTGGCGATAAGATCACATTTTTTTCCATGAATGACTTTTGTGTTTTACCGATGACTGTTGAGAACTGTCTCAGCGTGTCTTTAGTAACTCTTCAGTCAGGAAACTGAAACCCCCAAAACTGTCAATGTGCTTCCAGAAGCACAGAAAATGACTTTCAGCAGCGGGGTGCGGATGTGTAGTTGTTTATAACAATTGCTGTCCTGTATCGTTGTAAATCTTTCCTCGAGGGGAAAAGATGTATTTGAGGAACACAAGCAAGCTCGGCCTTTGAATACTAAATTCGGTTCGCAAACTCAAGCTTGAGCAGGTCTGCATCGTTTAGAAATATATATTTCTTAAGTGACAAAGGAGAAATATAAAGATTTAACCGGTGCATGACTTGTTTTATGTGAGAGTTGTAGGGTTTCCCTTTCCTTAAAACATTGAATAATGTCCCACTGATCCTGATCACCCGGGTGTCAAATACTATGATGTGTGGTAACCACTACGCAAGGTTTAGATGTCATCCAAGCGTTGTGGTCTTCCAGGCGATACGTTTTCGACATGTTTACAGTGTTGTGTTTGTCTCCTTTCCTATGTTTGACCCCCGTTGGCTGTGCGCTTTGGCCTGATTTCTCCTGTGGATCAACCGTCCTCCTCAAACCAGATGATGAGGTAAGAAAGCTGAGTTTTCCTTAAAATCTGCTGCCAATGACTAAGTAGGTCACTGGTGAAAGGAGATTTTGCCTTGATTATCTCTCCGAAATGAGGACATTGTGGTTTGTTGATTTCACCTCTGACAGCCGCTGCTGTTCAGGCGGGTTTCCACCCAGTTCTTGTTCATCTAAAGAGGCTTATGTTTTCTTCATGCTGAGTTGGAAACATGCGAAGTATGATTCAAACTTGAGATTTATTGCTGAAAATGCTGCTGAATGACATGATTCTCACTGTAAATCCACTGAGCTCGTGTGACTTGGCTGTTGTGCTTTTGGAGGTTTTCTACTTGACATCAAAGAGGCATCAGGTGTGTTTTCTTGTTCCTATTGTGGCCACCGAGAACCTGCTTGGTCTGCGAGTTTTACTCGTTGGCAACATCTTGCCCATCCTTCTGCAGTGTCTCAGCGTCCTGTCATCGCCTTTCCAGTAGCCAGCGTCCTGCCACCTGCCCGTCAAAACCGCCCCTCATCCTCTTCTCTGTGTCACTCTGTGCATCCGAAAGAAAACCCTGCAGCTGTGTTTGGCCCGGCTGAGTGGGGATGGAAAGCGGGTGGGGGCGGGCAGCAGGGGGGGTGTGTTTGTTTTTAAGCCCAAAGCATTCACAGGCCGGTGGAGAGGTGTGGATCCGTGTGAGTGCGACAAACCTGGTTCCTTCCTTAGCAACATTCCAAGCCCATGTGACAACAGAGGGAACACCTTGTGGGGCAACTTTCCACATCTGTTCAAGTTCTTGCGGCCAAGCTGCCGCTGCCGCTACCGGCTGGGTGACGGCGTTCGCTGATTAATCTCTGATGGTTTGGCACCCCTCTCTCTCTGGGTATGCGATTAAACTAGCAGATGTCTACATAAAAGTAGTCCCCGCCCTCCGAAACCACACCCATCGTGTGTCCTCATTAAGCACACGTGTCTCTGTCCTCTTTGACGGTCCTGGTGGACGTAGCCGAAGTGCCCTTCCCACGTGTCCACACCCCGGCTCCGTAAACCTAAAAAATGCCACCGAACCTCACGTACAAGAACACACACAGAATGACGTCACTGATCACGGGTAGCGCCAGCTGTGGACAGAGAAGCCAGGCCGGCTTGTCTCTCTCTCTCTCTCTCACTCACTCACTCACACTCACACTCTCTCACACACACACACACACACACTCTCACCATGGTTCATTCCTCTGTGGCTTTTACTCAACTAGCCATTAGCTTCTTGTGCCTTCCATTGCTGCTTACCACTGCAGCCAAAGTATAGTCAGTCTATACTTGGACTTTATTAGCCCATTAGCTCGCTAGCTACTGCAGTGGATGCCGGTTTTTCCCCTTTCCTCTGTTTCCCTCGTAGCTACGCCTGTTTTTCTCATCAGCCGTCACTGCTTCGGCGCGTGCGCCCTCGTTGTGTCCCGTTTGCAAACTGGAAAAGGCAGAATTGGAAAGTATGCTGCACCACACCCGTCTGTGCGCCGATTGGCATTTGACTGTTGGAGAGACACATACAGTACATTTTATTGCAACACAAAACATCGCAGGTGGATTAGTTTCGGGAATGTTAAATGACGGGCGTGAGATGGGATTACTTTTTCACACTGGGCGTTCCCTGTGTTAGATGAGGGCACACTCTGAAAACAACCTCACTCTTCCTTCATGTCGTCATATTCACGATCACGCGAGTGAGTGTGTGTGTGTGTGTGTGTGTGTGTGTGTGTGAGTGAGACCCTCCTCTGGGCAAAGGGTGGGCGCTTCCCTCTCGGTGCATGTGTGGAGATCCGGCGTGTGATGACCCAGTGGTGATGGCTGCGGCGTCGGGGTTTGGGCCCGCGAGCTCTGTCTTCGACAGGCGGCCCTCTGGGCATTTTCGGCGTGATGCGAGGGCAAACAATCAGGTTAGGGAGCGAGCGCGCGGCGCTGAGTGCGACAACAATGAAGAGACGGTGAAAGACGAGGGCTTCAAGAGGGATTTGTGGTGTCAATATTATTTTGTTTGTAAAAGCCTTTCCTACAGAAGAAAGGTTTTGGGCTTACAGTCATTGTTCAGGTTGATTTTGGGTTTAATGACACCATCACAAGGGAAATAATGTGTGTGTGTGTGTATATATATTCGTTTTAGTAAACTTCTTTTTGTTTTTTTTTGGAGGTGTGGATTTGCCTGCACTTAGCATTTTTTGGCAAAATAAAGAGATCAAATTTGGCAGAACCATAGTTGTCAGAAAAAGTCCTACCTGAAAAAACCTGTCTGGAATATCTGCTACAAGACATTACATTACATTACATTACATTACATGTCATTTAGCTGACGCTTTTATCCAAAGCGACGTACAATAAGTGCATTCAACCATAGGGTACAAACTCAGGAGAACAAGAAACAAGAAAGTGCAATTTCCTCAAATAAGCGAATTTACAATTTGCTATAGATGAGTGACGTCACAAGTACAA